GCGGACGGAGAGCGCCGCCATCAACCAGATCCTGGGCAGACGGGTACGGGCACCGGCATCGGCTTCGCGCCCACGTGCTGTCCCCCTTTGTCACCTTAAAACGGCTGCCAGCCCCCTTTACTCCACCTCTCCCCGTGCCTCGGTCCCTTGACCTGGGGCATCGCCAGCCCACGAGGTCCCAGGGGGCTGGTGGGGACCTGGGTGGCCACGGGACAGGGCGGGCTGGGAGCTCTGCAGCCCCAGGGCAGCGTGTCCTCGGGGCCAGCGGCGTGGTTTTGGGGCTTGCAGCATGACCTTGGGGTTTGCAGCGTGGCTTTGGGGTTGGCAGCGTGGCTTTGGGGCTTCCAGCATGGCTTTGGGGCTTCTAGCATGGTTTGGGGGCTTGAAGAGTGGCTTTAGGGTTTTCTGTGTTGTTTTGGCATTTCCAGCATGGCTTTGGGGTTTGCAGTGTTGTTTTGGGGCTTGCAGCGTGGCTTTGGGGCTTCCAGTACGGTTTTGGGGTTTGCAGTGTGGCTTTGGGGCTTCTGGCATGGTTTTGGGGCTTGAAGAGTGGCTTTGGGTTTTCCAGTGTAGTTTTGGGGCTTGCAGTGTTGTTTTGGGGCTTCCAGCACGGCTTTGGGATTTCCAGCATGGCTTTGGGGCTTCCAGCATGGCTTTGGGATTTCCAGCGTGGCTTTGGGGCTTCCAGCATGGCTTTGGGACTTCCAGCGTGGCTTTGGGGCTTCTGGCATGGTTTTGGGGCTTGCAGCATGACTTTGAGGTTTCCGGTGTGGTTTTGGGATTTGCAGCGTGGCTTTGGGTTTTCCAGCATAGTTTGGGGGCTTACAGCGTTGTTTTGGGGCTTCCAGCGTGGCTTTGGGGTTTGCAGCGTGGCTTTGGGGTTTGCAGCGTGGCTTTGGGGTTTGCAGCGTGTCCTTTCTCCCCCCGCAGTGGCACTCGCTGTCGCGGGAGGAGCAGGCCAAGTACTACGAGCTGGCGCGGAAAGAGCGGCAGCTGCACTCGCAGCTCTACCCGACGTGGTCGGCGCGGGACAACTACGTAAGCGCG